AGGGGAGAGTGGGGAGGAGAGAGAGAATGAATCTTCTATATGCTGGTTCACTCCCCCACCTGACCACAAAGGCTGGGGCTGGGGCTGGGGCTGGACCAGGCCAAAGCCAAACCTGATCTCCCACGTGGATGCAGGGGCCCAAGGACTTGGGCCATCTTCCACTGCTTTCCCAGGCCACAGCAGAGAGCTGGATCAGAGGTAGAGTAGTTGAGACTCAGGCAAGTGCTCATATGAATGCTGGCAGCATAGGATGCAGCTTAACTGGCTGTGCCACAATGCTATCTGCAATCACTCCTCCTGTGCTTGTATGAACACCTTGTACATATGAGTATGAGCACTGGAGGAAGAGTATTGTTAGAATAAATTTTTAGGTGTGGAAATTATGGGTCAATTGAGATTAGCTGTATTCGTTTTAGTGCTATAGCCACATGGAGCCCAAACAAGGCAGTATTCACTAATTCACCTCCACCAATAATGCACAGTATCTTTCCTCTCGCCCCCAGAAAACACTATGTAAGATTGTTTTTATTTTGCCACTCTGATGTATAAAATACATATATATTTTAATTTTAAAAGAGTATAGACACGGCCAGCACTGCGGCTCAATAGGCTAATCTTCCTCCTAGTGGTGCCGGCACACCGGGTTCTAGTCCCGGTCGGGGCGCCAGATTCTGTCCCAGTTGCCCCTCTTCCAGGCCAGCTCTCTGCTGTGGCCTGGGAGTGCAGTGGAGGATGGCCCAAGTGCTTGGGCCCTGCACCCCATGGGAGACCAGGAGAAGCACCTGGCTCCTGCCATCGGATCAGCGTGGTGCGCCGGCCGCAGCCCGCCAGCCGTGGCGGCCATTGGAGGGTGAACCAATGGCAAAAGGAAGACCTTTCTCTCTGTCCCTCTCTCTCGCTGTCCACTCTGCCTGTCAAAAAAAAAAAAAAAAGAGTATAGACAATGCATGCCTTTTATTTTGGAATTATTCTAGATTTACAGAAATATAAGGATAGTACAGCATTCTCATGCCCTTATTTCTCCCCAAAGTGAACAAACATAACAAAAGTATACTTATCAGAAGTAAAAATCCTACATGGGTACGTTACTATTAACTAAACTCCAGAATTTATTTGGATTTTACAGGTTTTTCTCACCAGTGTTGTTTTGTGTTCTAGGATCCAATGTTGCGCTTGGCTGTCCTATCTCCTTAACCTCTGATCTGACAATTCCTCAGTCTGTGTGTCTTCATTACTCTGACAGTTTTAAGCTCTAGTCAGGTATTTTAGATCCCTCAACTTGGATTTGTAGGTTTATGGGTTTTGGAGGAATTACCAGAGGTGAAATGGCCTTCTCATCATGCTGTGTCATACCAGGTGATATATGGTATCACAATTTCAAACACATATCAAAACAGCAGGAACAGAATAAGTACTCACCCATCTCTGGGCTTGCCCAGTTAGCAATGTTTTGTTTGTTTCTTGATGGCTTTTCAATGTGGTTGGATGTTTTCATCTTCTTTTCTTACTTTTCTTCTTCTTCTTTTTTTTTTTTTTCCAACAGAGTTAGTGAGAGACAGGAAGAAAGGTCTTCCTTCCATTGGTTCACCCCCCAAAATGGCCACTACGGCCGGCACGCTGAGCCAATCCGAAGCCAGGAGCCAGGTGCTTCCTCCTGGTCTCCCATGCGGGTGCAGGGCCCAAGCACTTGGGCCATCCTCCACTGCCTTCCCGGGCCACAGCAGAGAGCTGGACTGGAAGAAGAGCAACAAGGACAGAATTTGGCACCCTAACCGGGACTAGAATCTGAGGTGCCGGCGCCGCAGGCGGAGGATTAGTCTAGTGAGCCATGGCGCCGGCCTTTTCTCTTCTTCTTCCTTCTTTTGTCCCTCTTTCCCTTCCTTATTTATTTTTAACACAAAAGGAGAAAAATACTGGAAATGTAGGTGAAAGGGCATAACAAATCTAACAAGAGTTGCTCCCTCTCTTAGCTCAGACTGCCACGACAAAATACCACGTATTACGTGACATCAACAGCAGGCATCTATTCCTCACAGTTCTGTTGACTAATTCTGAGGCTGGGTCTTGCTGAGAGCTCTCGTGGCTTGCAGAGGCTGCCTCTTTGCCAAATCCTTCTATGGCAAAGAGAGAAGAAACTCTGACGTCTTTTCCTTTTCTTAAGGGCACCAATGCCACTGTTTTGGCTCTATCTTCATGACTTCACCTAAACCCAGTCACCTCCCCAGGGGAGTTGGGCTTCAACATATGAATTTGGGGTGTGTGGGGGGAGAGTGTATGAACATTTAGACCACAACACGATAGCCTTTCATTTTTTTGTTCAATACCTCTAGTCCCACTTCTTCCCAGTATACCCTATTATTACTTTGGACTCTAGGTTATGAGAGAAAAGAACTCAATCCAGACAGATGGAATTCATTGGCTCAAACACTTTAATTGCAAATGCTATGCCCTTCCTTGCTGTTTCCTGGTTCTCCTTCCCCTCTGTTGTCACCAACTGTGGTGCATGCACTAGTGCCAGCAACATGGACTGACCACCTGTCCCAACCTGCTTCTCCCTTCAGTCATTTCAACACAGGTCCCAGGAATGAGCTTCAGATGAACCTGAAGCATATCCCTGTATCTCCTGAACCAACCACTGGGTTTACATAATTTCCAAGGAATGTGACTCCTGACTACCTAAATGGAGGCTACAAGCCCAGACTTGAGAAAAGGAACTGAGTCAACTTAAGTCAGACTGCATAAGCTGGATGGATGAAAGGTGCTTCCCCTAGTAAACACTGGGTTAGTCATAGACAAGGCGGGTAGAAATCAATGGCAGGAAAACAACTGATGTCCCATACCCCACTGGTGGACATCTGATTCATGTCTGTCTGTTCATCTTTCCTTCTCTGCTCCCACCCCTCAGGGATGACCACTCTCTGCTGTGTCCTAAGCTGTTATGCCATCATATTTCAAAGCACTTGAATAGCTTTCCTGAACCCAGAGGTTTACCAAGTTGGGAAGGGAAGCTAGCATGGTTTCCATCAGGTTCATGCTTGGGGCCGGCATCATGGTGTAGATGGTAGAGCCACCGCTCATGATGCTGGCATCCCATGTGGTAGCTGATTTGAGTCCCAGCTACTTCAGTTCTGATCCAGCTTCCTGCTAATGTGCCAGGGAAAGCAGCAGTAGATGGCCCAAGTGCTTGGGCCCATGCACCCACATGGGAGACTTGGAAGAAACTCCTGGCTTTATCACTTCTTGGCTTTTTGGCTAAGATCAAGTGAAACTCTTAGCTTTGGTCTGTCCTAGTCCTGGCCATGGGGACTAAACCAGTGGGTGGAGGATCTCTCTCTACTTTTCTCTCTCTCCCTCCCCTACCACCTCTGTCTTTCAAATAAGCAAATCTTAAAACAATCCCCTCTCTGCATCCCATATTGGAGTTCAAGCGTGAGTTTGAGTCCCAGCTCCACTCCTGACTCCAGTTTCCTGCTAATTCAGACACTGGAAGGCAGCAGGTGGATGGCTTAAAACGTTGGGTCCCTGCCACCCATATGGGAAATCTGGATTAAGTTCCTGACTTGTGGCTTTAGCATGGCTTAACCCTGGCTATTGCAGGCATTTGGAGAGTGAACCAGTGGGTGGGAGATCTGTTCATGTCAAATAAATATAAAAAAATTCTCCATATGATTTTAAAATATAAAAATGATGAACCAAAATTTGATCTGCTTTTGGTCATTCACTCTATGCTGGCAGTTATAAACAGTGTCAGTACTCCTTTGTGTGTCTCGGGGGTGGGGGGAATACAGAAAGTTCCTAGTACCACAGAGGCTTCCTCAAGGACATGTTTTAAAACTTAATATACTATTGATTGTGATCTTATCTCTCCCTTCACAGGGTGTTGAGAAATCCAATCTTACTCATGTTAGGGTCCCCCCGCCACCACCACCTTGTGGAGGTGTGGAAAGTTTGGACTTCACGAACCCTAGGTTGTTCTTCCTGGCCTGTGCCTGCCCCTCTCTTGGGGGACTACTCACTCCAGGAGTGGCTATTTTGATCCTATTGCCCAACCCGCCACAGGGTGTGTCCTGAGCAACCTTTCACTGAGCCTCCCCTTTGGGTCCCAGGAGGGAAAAGGGAGACTCAAAGCTCTTGGCTCATTTTCCTGACTCCATTGGCCAGGTGCCTACCAAGGCTGAGTCAGCCATTCTCAAAGGTGGTCCTACAGGTTCTTCTTTTGTCAACCATTATCCGCATGAAGCAGGATGTTTTTTCCCCATGGGTAAGTCAATTACTGGGTGATGTGAGGTCCAGCTGTTTTATGTCCAACTTTAATGTGAAAATATTCTTCCTTTTCTGGGGAAACATAGCTGCGGAAAAATGTGTTTACTTTTAAACTTGTTTAAAATATGGTAATATTGATGGCTTTGATCCACATTAGCAAAATATTTTTGCGGCCTTCTATTACTTCCGTAATGTGGTCCCGAGAGTGTCGAATGGGAAACACCGACCTAATAATCTTCATGGTGCTGCGAGAATCAGCCCAGCTCCTCCGCACCGGAGTCAACTCAGGCCTCTAAGTCCGCGGGCGGGCGTAGGCGCCACGGGAGTCGCTCCCTTTGCCGGGCCACGTCCCCAGAGGGGACACCGGACGGCAGTGTTAGGTATGAGACTGCCATGAGCCACATGCCACTCCATAGACTCGAAATCTGGACTATGCCATGCCATAGAAGCGAAATTAGAGACGTCTTGCTCTGCTAGGTTCCCACGACTGAGTGCCTCAAGCCCCAGGGCACACAGCAAAGGACGCGACACCCCTGCACTAGCCAAAGGCAGCCTTTGGCTCTCCCAGCCAGCTTCACATCCGGTGCCCGGCCGGAAACCTCCTTTCCGGTTCTCAAGACCGCGCTCAGGAAGTGACTCAACTGCCAGCATCTAAGATGGCCACGGGTACACTCGCTGCCACAGTCCATAGGCCGAAGTGGGAGCAAACCCGGAAGTTGCCCGGTTAAGGCATGGAGGCCGTCGGGGGCGTGGCTTCCGGAGGCCCGCGCCTTCGAGTCGCCGCGGCGGGGTCGGGCGCAAGCAGCGGCTGTCAGGCCCTCCTTCCAGACGGCTGCGACTGGTGCCGGGCGAGGCAGGCGGCCCCCAACTTAAGTCCCCGCGTCCCGGCCCGCCGGGCACCTGGGCCGTGCCGGGGCATGGACGAGGAGAAGATGGACGAGAATGAATGGAAATATCACGGCGAGGGCAACAAGAGCCTGGTGGTGGCCCACGCGCAGGTGAGCCGCGGACGCGCGGATGGTCCGCGGGGTTTCCCGTCCCCCTAGTACGCCTTCCCCACCGGTCGGGTTCCTCTTCCCCACAGCACTTCCCTTACCCCCGGGGTCGTCCCGGCTTTCCCAGCACCTCCCTCCCGTCCTTCCCCCTGTAAGGATCCCCTCTCTACCTCTTTCCTCCCAGGGTCGGTCCCCCCGGTCCTCCTTGCAGCACTGTCCCTGTGGGTCGGTCCCCTGTCGCCATCGCCCTCCCGGTCTGTTCTCTCCCCAGGGTTGGTCTACCCTCCCTCTTTTGCTCCCCCATCCCGCCGTACTTAGTCTCGTTCCCTTGCCCTCCCCCAGGGTCACTTCCTATGTCCCACAGTACTCCTTTTCCGCCAGGATCGTCCTCATCCTTGTACCTCTGCCCTCAACCGTCTGCCTTTCCCTCTTCAGCACCCCATCTCCCATATTCTCATAACCCCTGTTCTTCTCCCATACCCCATCCCGTGCCAAACAGTACCCCCTTCTCCTAGGGCCATCCCTGCCCTCCCATTATCTCCCACCTAGGGTTGTTTATTTGTACCCTCCTCTGCTCTCGAGCCGCGTCATGCGGTGACGCTTCTGCAGGAGTGCCTGTCCCCAGCCCCAGGCAGGCCTGGGGGAAGTGCATGGGTTGCTATAGCTCCCAGCACGGAGGAGTTGAGCCTCGTGAGACCACGGAATTACTGTTTTCACTGCTGCTGTTAATCATAGCGGGGTATTGGCGACACATTCTTCTCTGGACTTTTAGAATTTAGAGGGTTGCACCAAGGACTTCCAGGGAGGTGAACCCAGGAAGGGAAGCATGTGTATTTGTGCAGGGGCCGTATTTCTTCCACATCTTGCTGTTAAAACCAGCCAGGGCTGTGGTGGGCTGGAGGGAGCAGCTGAAGCAGTGGGATGGTGTCATGCAGGGAGGAGTTTAAGTGGGGAAGTTAAAGGCAAACCAGAGCTGGCTGGATTTCCAGTCCCACCACTGTGCGGCGGAGCTCAGTGCCTGCAATTGTCAAATAGAACTGGCAATAGAATTTGCTTTGTGCAGCTGGTGGAGAGATCAGTTGAGCCAGAGCCCGACAAGTTATACCTTCCAAGTGGTAATTGTGGTTCCCTTGAACAGATGATGAAAGCGGAACTCGGAGAGGTTAAGGACCTGTCCCAGTCCATCTGCTCCCAGGGAGGCACGGGTGCTCCTGTTGCTCCTGTGTGGCTGCAGTGCTCATGGCATCATACAGCATAAGCTGCGAACACCCAGAAGCCCCTAGGCGCTGCCCTTGTGTTTGGCCAGATAGCTGCACAGCTGGGACTGCAGGCTTGCTCACGATTTTTAAGTGGGTTAACAATGGACAAGGCGAGGGGCCGACATGTGGCAGAGTGGTTAGGTCGCCATGTTGGCTGTCCACATTCCACACTGGAGTGACTGGTTTGTTTTGGCTACTTCTGATCTAGTTCCCTGCTACTGGGCAGCAGATGATAGCTTAAATATTTGGGTCTCTGCCACCCACATGGGAGACCTGGATGGAATTTTGGGCTCCTGGCTTTGGCTTGGTCCAGCCTGGCTACTGTGGGCCTTTGGGGATTGGAATAGTGGATGAAGATCTCTGTGTTGCCTCTCTGGGTCTCTTTCTCTGTTTCTCTGCCTTTTAAACAAGACAAAATAAATTTTAACTAACGGACAAGGTTTACCCACGGCCGCCCTTGTGTGGAGTCTGCTGGGCCCATTGTGTTCTGAGGCTCCAGTGTGACTTCCTTTTGTTGTCGGGTCTCTGTGCTGATTCCCTGAATCCTTCCCTAGAGCAGCTACTTTGCCTTTCAGCTGTGTAATAAGATTGGATGGCGTATTTCTGCATTTTCGGGATAGCAAGTGCTCCTTACAGTGTGGGCTGGTACATTCAGTCTCAAAAGTAGCAGCAGGTGGGAGGCTGGGAGCACAAGGAGAGCCAGGGCTGGAAGAGCAGGGGCTTCGGGGCGGCCGCCTGCCTGTCCCCCAACTCTGAGCAGGCAGCCCGGCCCCTCCTGGTTGCACAGCTCCAATCATTCCATTGTAAGTCTTTGAAAATGTGCCTACAGCTGTCAGATGGTCCTGATTTTATGTCTGAATTTGCTTTATTATGCCCGTTCCTTCTTGGTGGGCTTTTTTTTTTTTTAACCTTAATGTTTGAAATCAAGGATTATCACAGCAAATAGTATCGCATGAAGCCATTTCCTACCAAGATAAGGGTGGTGAAGTTTGAGGGTACCTGTGCCCCATGTGGGTAAATTGAAGTGTGCTGAGCGGCCTGGAGGAGAGCCTGCCAGCTCCGCCTTGCTGGCATGTTTGCTTAGGCTGCAAACCAAGGAGGTGAGAACGAGACCTGGGTAGTAGTTTATCAGGGCCTCTTGTGTCCAGGGAGAGGGTGTGTGTGTATGAGCGAGATTGAGAAGGTGGTGAGAGGGAACAGGAGGGGTCCTGCTCCTGTGGGGGCCGAGCTTGTGCACATCCAGGCTCCTGAACTGGGAACAGGTGCACCCTGCTTCTCTGTTCAACTCCCCAGCTCCATCCCGTTCAGTCCAAGGAAGCACGAGGCCTTCACCAGTTTTCCCAGATAAGGAGGTTCGGCTCTCTCCTCTGAAAGGTCTGTGTCTGTCTGCTGTCCTGCGTGGGAACATCCTATGCCCATCCTGCAGAGCTGAGTGTTCCCGTGGGGGAGGGGAGACCTACACACTCACTGGTCGTCAGTTTAGAAGACCGTGGCGAGGCTGCCTCCTGTGTTACCTGCATATGCAAAGGTGCAGTGAGAGACAGGAGCAGAGTGTGTTCTCTGTGGATTGTGAGGCTTGTGGCAAATGGAGTAGCAGAGCTTGGGCTTGGGGAAACGTGGGCTGGCGAGCAAGAAGATGGACAGCAGGCCAAACCTTGGAGAGTAGGGGCTAGGGTTTTCTTTTTTTCCTCCTTTTTTTGGTTGCTAGAGAAACAGAACTTGCGTTCTCTGGGCCATTCCCCAAATTTCTACAACAGCTGGGGCTGGATCAGGCTGAAGCCAGGAGCTAGGAACTTGATCCAGGTCCCTACATACGTGGCAAGGACCCGAGTACTTGAGCTGTCACCTGCTGCCTCCCAGAGTCCCCTCGGCAGGAAGCTAGAATTGGGCGTGGAGCTAGGACTTGAACCCAGGTCCTCTGATGTGGGACATAGGCATCTTAACTGATTGATATCTAAACTGCTCGGTCAAATGCTCGCTGCAGAGAGGAGTTGTGCTGGTGTTCCTGATAGTGGTGGTCAGCTTTCCCATGGTCCCATCTCTCAGAGGGGCCCAGATGGCTCTGGCCAGTGCTAACTTTGCCCATCGGGTCTCGTTTTGTCTTTGCTTGAGGCAGCCATGTAGTTTGATACTTTTCCAGGCATGGCATCTGCCATGTCTTCAGCCCTGGCTAGTGCAGACCCTCTGATGGCCTTGCAAGACTCTCAGCCTGGGTGCATGGTCTCGGGTAGGTGTCTGGAGCCCCAGGAGTGGACCCCTTGGGCAGGGGCATGTCCCATCTGGGTCCAGACTTTCCTTGGTGCAGTCTGAGGGCGCTGTATCTATGCTAACAGCCACCACCCAGGTCAGTGAATCCTGCACTTCCATGCACTACTGTGGCTAGACTTCTTTCCACAACTTCTGCACTTGCCATTTTCTCCTTCAGCTTGTTGGTGTTGGTCCAGCATCCTGTTGGGTGAAGGTCGCTATGTCTGGTTTGTTTGATCTCCTTTATCTCCTTTAAGTGTCCAGGGGACTGAGCGGATAGGGCCTCCTTGGCCTTGGGGTGCAGGAGCAGATGTGTCCGTGTTTGTCCCAACATTCAGCTATCGTGAAATTTTCCTTCTTGTTGACAGAGGTAACATGAAATACTTTGCCACTGAGCTGACCTGCCAACAAAGAGCATTTAAAAAAAGCGTGAGGAAGGGGACAGTGTTGTGGCAAAGCAGGTTAGGCCGCCGCCTGCAATGCCGGCATCCCATATGGCATGGTTTGTGTGCCAGCTTTCCCGCTTCTAATCCAGCGCCTTGCTAATGAACCTGGGAAAGCAGTGGAAAATGGCCCACGTGCGCCCATGTAGGAGACCAGGATAAAGCTCCTGGCTCCTGGCTTTGGCCTGGCTCAGCCCTGGCTGTTGTGGCCATTTGGAGAGTGAACCAGTGGGTGGAATCTCTTTTTTTAAAAAAAAATTTTTTTGACAGGCAGAGTGGACAGTGAGAGAGAGAGAGAGACAGAGAGAAAGGTCTTCCTTTACCGTTGGTTCACCCTCCAATGGCCGCTGTGGCCAGCGCACTGCAGCTGGCGCACCACGCTGATCCAATGGCAGGAGCCAGGTGCTTCTCCTGGTCTCCCATGGGGTGCAGGGCCCAAGCACCTGGGCCATCCTCCACTGCACTCCCTGGCCACAGCAGAGAGCTGGCCTGGAAGAGGGGCAACTGGGACAGAATCTGGTGCCCCGACCGGGACTAGAACCCAGGGTGCTGGCGCCATAGGTGGAGGATTAGCCTATTGAGCCGCAGCGCCGGCCGGAGTCTCTTTTCTATCTGTCCCTCTCTGTATAACTCTTTCAAATAAATAAAATATTTCTTTTTTAAAAAAGTATAAGGAAAGTTGCTCATTTTCATTCCAGTTTTGTAAACTTTCTGATTCTGAGGAGAGTTCTGGTTGTTTATTTCTTGTTTATTTTTAAAGTATTATTTGAAAGGCAGAGAGAGACAGAGACAGATCTTCCATCTGTTAGTTCATCCTCAAATGCCCCCAGCAGCCAGGGCCGGGCCAGGCCAAAGCCAGGAGCCTGGACCTTCATCTGGACCTCTGACGTGGGCGGCAGGGACCCAGGACCTGAAGCCTTCCCACGGCGCAGGGAGCTGCATGCGAAGCTGAGGAGCAGGCCTTGAACTGGGTGCTCTGATGTGTGTCACGGGTGCGGGAAGTGATGGCTTGACCCAACTGCCCCGGATGCCTGCCTAGGGCTCGGATTATTTC